ATTTAATCTAATTATATACAAAATTTACAGACTTTCTAACCAATAATTTTTTTTAATTTATCTTTGAACTGGTCCTTTTAGGTGACCTTAATCATCCCTAATTCCAACTTGTTCCTCTCAAAGTGATCTCTACTTAAGGCTTTTGTTTCTGAAGACCCATTTTGTACCGATTAGTGATATATCATTGGGTCTTGGTACTAGATGCCAAACTCGACTCCTTTCGAATTAGTTGAGTTCATCTTGCATTACATTTACCCAGTCTGCATCCTGCAAAGCCTCAGCAACCCCTTTAGGTTCAATAAGAGATAAGAAAACATCGAAAGTACAAAGATTGTTTAATAAAGATTTGGTTTTGATTGCAGAGGTTGGGTTAGTGATTATATTCTCAATGGGATGAGAACTTTGATACTTGTAAGATTTCACAACCAACTGGTTTCCCCTTGATGTTCTTTCAATGCTTTGTTGCTGTGGAACAGGTTCATGGATAGGTTCCTTCGAGGTTTGAGATTCAGTTCCTCTTTGTTCAGTTCCCCCTGTTAGGTTACCCTGAGCAGAAGAACCTGTTCCATCACCTATTCCTTCTTCTGGTGCAACTTCAGTCTGGGTTGTGATTTCATTTAAATTTCTTACCAGCCCAATTGCATCATCTTCATGTTCCTGTCTCTCAAAAAGAATGTTAGTTTCATCAAAAACCATATGTACACTTTCTTCTACACACATAGTTCTTTTGTTATAGATCATATAAGGTTTACTATGTGAAGAATATCCCAAGAATACTCCCTCATCACTTTTGGGATCAAACTTTCTTAGGGAATCTTTTTCATGATTGCGAATAAAGTACTTGCATCTAAATGCCTTAATATGGGATATATTTAGCTTTCTCTCTTTAAGTGACTCATAGGGAATCTTCTTAACAAGAGGTCTATTCATGCAACTATTTATGATAAATTCAGCAAACTTAGCATTTTCAAATTCAGCTCTATGACCAGACCTAATTGATGCAAGTTGATTACCTAGTTGTTTATGAGTTTTTCTAACAGAAGAAGTAAAAATGTCAAATGCTTCATCTTTATATGTTAAAAATAATGTCCAAGTAAACCTAAAGTAATCATCAACAAGCACCATCACATATTTTTTACCACCTCTGCTTAATGTTCTCATTGGACCACAGTGATCCATATGGACCAGTTCCATCGTTCTGGTGGTGCTTACCACTTTCTTGCTTTTAAAAGAGGATCTTACATGCTTCCCCCCTTGCACAAGCCTCACAAACTTTGTCTTCCTTAAAATTAATGTTAGGCAGCCCCATCACCAGGTCCTTGGAGACTAATTTATTGAGTTGACTCAGACTTGCATGTCCACGTCTCTTGTGCCAAAGGAGGGGATCATTATCCAACACACTTAAGCAAGTGAGTTCATTTTCTGAAAGTGTGGACAAATCTACAATGTAAATATTATTTACTCTTTTCCCTTGCAAAACAATCTTGTTAGTGATAAGATTTATCATTAAATATTTGGTAAAGGTGAATGCTACCAAGTTACCTTAATCACACAATTGTGATACACTGATTAGGCTGTATTTTAGGCCATCTATCAAGTAGACATTCTCAATAGAGTGAGAATCAGTCTTACCTACTTTTCCAACCCCAATAATCTCACCTTTCTTCCCATTTTCAAAGGAGACATTACCTCCTTTGAGGTCCTCAAGTGAAAGGAACTGGTTCTTTCTTCCTATCATATGCTTTGAGCAGCTAGTATCCATGTACCATATTTTGCTGATCCCCTTCACTTGGACCCGCAAAGGAAACCAGGGGTTAGTCTTAGGAATCCAAACTAGTTTGGGTCCCTTTCTATAGGCAAAAAAGTAAATTAAATTCTTTTTGGCCCATCCTGGCAGCCTACTTTTCTCTTGAACAAATATTTTATTCTTTTGACTTGCCTTTTCTTTTGAATTACATTCACTTTTGTAGTGACCAGTCTTACCACAGTGTGTGCAAATTCTGTTCTCAGGAAGTGTGAGGTACTTGCTTTGGGAATCCCACTTAGGTGCGGGGGTCCCGTAGCCAAGTCCTCTCTTATTGCTACTATAATGTTCATATCGCCATGAAAGTGTATCGGAGGACCTATTCCATTTATAGGTTTTGTCTAGCTCGTGCTTAACCTTGCTTAGATCCTCCTTGAAGACTCTTATCTACTCATCTCTTTTGTACAACTCGTCTTTCATTTTTCCTAGGTTTTCTTCTAATATGAGTTGTGTGTGATCAACTTTCTTTTTACCTGTTCCTAATTTCAGTTTTAGATTTTCAGATTTTAGCTCTAGGACAGTGGTATCAAGTTCATGAACCTGGTTCTTTAACTCAACATTTTTACTATCACTTTCACTAGCCCTAAGTTCCTGATTTTTGCACTTAGCTTTCAAAATCACACACTCTTTAGACAGTTGTTCCTTTTCATTGTTTAGATCCTCAGATTCATCAATGAAATGTAGGAGTAACTCAGATAGCCTTTCTTTAGATAAAAACTTAATCTTGTCTTTGAGATGAATTATACTTACCTCAGATTGCTCATCAGATTTTCCAATTGCCATAAGTGCTTGTTCATCTCCATCTTCACCTTCTGAGTCTTCATCTGAGCTTTCTCCCCAGGTAACAACCATAACCTTTGTTGATCCTTAGTTCTTCTTGGGTTGAACCTGTTCCTTCTTCCTGTTCCTTCATTCAGCTTTTTTCTTCTTCCATTCAATTTCCCATTGAGGGCAGTTTTTGATGTGGTGATCAGTCTTCCCACACTTGTAACACCCCTCATTGGTTTGTTTTTCAGGTACCCTTGGTTTGCTCGCTTCCACTTCTTAAAGGACCCTTTCCTCTTATTAGGTACTTCTTGAAGTCCTTTGTGATCATGGTCATTTCATCCTCCTCTAGATCAACACCTTCCGTGATTCTGAGTGCCAGGCTCCTTTCCTTCTTGGGTGCATCCATCTTCATGGTTTGCCTTCTAAGTTCATAGGCAGTGAAATTTCTAATTAGCTCATCTAACTTAAGAGTGGTAATGTTCTTTGATTCCTGAATAGCCGTGGTTTTGCTTTCCCAAGAGACTGGCACAACCCTTGTCAAAATCTTATCAACTTTGTCTTCTTCAATAATAGCCCTTCCAAGAGACTTAAATTCATTTGTCAGTGTGGTGAACCTTGTATATATCTCCTGGATGGTTTCCCCTTTCTTCATAGTGAAATTCTCATATTGAGAATACAACAGTGTTCCTCTGGACCTCTTCACTTGAGGTGTTCCTTCATGAGCCACTTGCAAAGTATCCCAAATTTCCTTAGCAGTGGTACAACTTTGAATTCTACTGTACTAGTCTGGACCAAGTCCACACACAAGCCATTTCTTGGCCTTAGCATTCTTTTCTTATTTCCTCAAGTCCTCAGCATTGTAGTCAGCTCTTGTTTTTGGTACATCTACTCCTTCAACATTCTTCTTCATGGTAGCCAGGGGACCATCAGTAACAATGTCTCATAGCTGTAGTCTTTTCCGATGATGTATCACTCATCCTATTTTTTCACCAAGAGTAGTACTGGCCATTAAAGAGTGGAGGCCTATCAGTGGATTGCTCTTCCCAGTTTTCAGGTGGTACGCTCATCTTGATCTGTTCTTAAGGTATTAGCCTCTTCACGGATAACCTGTTCTAATACCAATTGATGTTTTATACTTCAATACTACACAAGAGGGGGGGGGGGGGGGGTGATTTGTGTGTTGTCCAGGTTTTCGCTTAAACTGATTATGGAAGGACCTGGTTCTTCAATGTGTTCCTTATACTGCTGTTGCGGAATAATAAATGCAAAAAGTAAAGAATACAAGTATTTTTACGTGAAAAAAACCTGGCTCAAAAGGTGAAAAAAACTACGACCTACTACTCAGTAGGATTTTTCCCAACACTTCACTAAATCACTGAGCCAAAACAGCATTTACAAAACTCTTTGTAAACCTAAGGATTACCTCTAATCCCGTTGTAGCACACAACCTCTAACTGTTGCGACAACTTCAAGTTAACTCTACCTTGAAAACTCTGAGTACCTATTACAATTGCCTCTAGATAAAGCTGAAAGGTACAATGTGAAAACACCTACTACGATTGAACTAGAATAAAAGATAGACACTTGGAACTAGTTCTTCTATCTGGTTCACGTAGCTTCAGGTTTGCACAATTGAATCACATACGAACTGCTTGCGAAATTGCCTTGCTATTTTGCTCTCAATTAACGTTTAACTTCTACGTTTGTGCAACACCTGGAATGTGAGAACATCCTGCAAGTTATAGAGTTAGTAGATGAAGAAATAACTAGAGTTCTAATGCTACTCTTCCTTGGAGGAAGAGTTCTAGTTGATCTCAACTTCTAACTCCTTCCTTATCTTGGATAATGTTCTCTTTGAGTAAGGAGTCCTTTTCCTTATCAATTATGCAACCTTTTCGATCAAGAGATATTAAATACACCAAGTTAAACTTATATCCTTCATGTGAATCCCACATGCTCAAATCTGCCCTTTTTTGTGGACCTGAGGGATGGACCTAGTCCATGTCCGAGTTACTTTGTCAGTCTTCAAAATTAACCTTTACTTGGGCCAACAAATATTATATTACAAATTTTAGTATAACTTATACCAAATTTAGCATTATTTACGTAGGATAGGATGAGAGATGAAAATCATGTATTAACAATGATGAGAGTATCTAAACATGTAAATTCTCTTATACTAAACAATGCATTATTATTTATTGTATGACAATCTCTTTATTATTATCATTGCATACGCAGTTTTTGTACTATAATCTGCGTATTAGCTAGTCAGTAAAACAAACGACTTTTGTACTGTTTATACGTTGGGTTTGTCTTAGAAAAAAATGAGATTATATTGGAAAGAGAGAGACAGGACTGTATTACTAATCATCTGCACACCCTTTTTTTTGTGCATTGTTATTTATAAATACCGATTTCAATGAGATAAACAATGAGACATCAACTCGTATTCAATTACAATTGACATATACATACCTAGTCAACCCAAAGCTACAATACATACATAAATAGATAATGTATTAATTGATGACCTCACTTTTCCTAGTTCCTTTTGATCTAATTCTACGCCACCTTTATCAAGTGATAAATAACAATTATGCACGTTACAACTTTAACAAAGGGCAAGATTGGCAGTTTGTCTGCGATGCTGGGATTGAAACTTGGATTAATTGTAACCCATGGATCATCCGAGTTTGTGTATTCAAATTTAACTTTTAAAGGTTGATTTGAACCGACAAACAAAACCCTTTTGCTACCTTCAACAAGTATTCCAATGTCTCCACAAAATGGTCTACATGTCTCACAAACTCCAGGACAATACGCAAATTTGTAAGCATCCTCGTACTTGTCAATCTTGAACCAATTGCTCAATGTTTCACGCCCTGGATTTCCTTCTACTCCACCAACTGTCACCAAATAACGTTGTGGAATTAATTCAGTGTTAATTCTCCATACTGTGGACGAATCAGATATTGTCATAGCCGTATATTTGATGTTCAGATCAGTCGATATTCTGATGGTATTTTCTTTCGGATTTACTGGTATAAATTGAACGTCAGTGCCGCTGGAATTTTGAGTATTTTGGCTTACAACGAGAGGATTGGTTGTGTTCCTAATGGATGAGATATCAAGTCCACCGGGGCTGCCCCGACCCGCTGGAACGATCAAATAATTCGCTCCTTTACGGACAGCGTTACCGGAAACGTCGAGTACCGGTTCAGAAACATTTTGAGCTTTTACGAGGAAGAAGGATAAGCTTGTTGACAATGCAAAAAGAAGAAAAGGTACCATGAATCGTCTAACGTTCACTTCCATTTTCATTGTGTTTGTATGGATTTATTCGTATAGAATTACTTGTGAAAGGATAGAATAGGTTTATTTATAGAACTGCGATGAGGTTTGAATATTCTACTGGTTTGCAAGATAAGGTTTTAATAGAACTACTGGTTTTGCAAGATAGACGGAATTGACCATCAATTTCTAGTCATTGCACGTCTTCTGTTTTACTCATTAAACAATGAGAAAACAATTACTCATGCTATCCTCGTATAATCTTTGCGATCTTGTACATATATATCTGAACTGTGTCAGCAATTTTAAAGGTTGAACTATTCACAAATCTTTTAAAAAGAAATTATTCACAAATGGGCCAAGCAAGAGACGAGAATGGAGCGATAAATTCTCTCGCCAAAAATATTATTACCATGTAGGTAGGTATTAAATATTACTCTTGATGAAATTTCTGGCTTTATTGGTAATTAGAAGGGAGTACTATAGATAGTTCAGTGTACATATAGTACTCCTATAGGATAAAGATTTGGGATAAGTTCTCTCCGACAAATCAAACGGTACATATATGTTTTAGGACATAGTACGCAACTTTGATTAGCTTAATATAACGATTGAGTATACTAGGGTAGTAGCAGGAAAATTGAATGATTAAGACCGTACGTCTATTAGACTTAGCGAAGCAGAGCTATTTATGGATCTGGATGAAGGTGTGCATATTATAAATTTTGTTTGAAATTTTCACACCCTAGAAAGATTTTTTTTTTCTTTTTCAGTTGGAATTGACTATCAACTTTGATTTGTTCTGTATAATAGAAAGATCAACAACAAGATGGGTGCTAGCAACAAATTAAGTAGCATGACAACCTTTTTTTCCCTTGTGACACAATACGTAGTATTAATTCCTAATAAAGTCTATCTTGAGAAAGTCAAAGCGAACACGCTAAAAGCAGTAGGAGTTTAGCATACATACCGGTTTAGCCGAGCTTATGAGAAATAGGAAGTGCTTATTTTTCAAAAGAAAGAAAAAAATACTACTAACATTTTTAAGTAGTAGCAGAAGTTGCTTTCCTGGTGAATGGAAGAAGATAAAAAACTATTCTCGATAGAAGTATAAGCAGATATATTTTGTCTTTTCAAGAAAAATATATTAAAAATGTACATTTACCAAACTATATGTACCTCTCCCACTTCTCTCTCACTCTATTTTGTGATTTTTCAATTTTAAATTTATTTAAATCAAACTAAAAAAATATGAGCCTCTAGTCTGTTGATCTATTTTAATAATACTAGTATTAGGGTACGCGCTTTGCACGTGTACCCTGTATCAATGAATATATAATTTTTTTTAAAATACAAAAAAATATTAAATAATGTGTGTTATTGAATAAAATAAAATAAAAATATAAGTTCTTAAATATGATGAACATTGATTCTTTTTAGCCCGTTAGCTTGATAAATAAATAATAATATAAAATCTTAAAAAATACTATAATATTAGAGTTTTAATACTTTATAAAAAAATAACGTAAATATATGAAGCTATCATTTATTAGAATGGTTATAAAAAGAAAAAAAAAAGACTTCATATGTAGGTTATCCATATGAAAATTTTGATCGAATGGTCATATAAAATAAAGGTCACAAAAAATAAGGTAGAAAACCAATGTTTATTGTTATTTTATTATAATTATTCAAATTTTAATTGATAAAGTTATTTTTTTAGACCCTTGAATTATAGTTAAAAAGAAACGATAGCTGAAACAATGGTAATAACACAATGGAAGGATATCACAATGGAAGTTTAGCTTTGCTTTGAATGGCAAATACTTACGTTAGTTTTGATTTAATAAATATATTACACGTCATATAATTCTATATATTAAAATTTTTACATAGTTCAAACAAAAAAAAAATAATAGTGTAATAAAACAATAAAAATAGAAGAACAATATTGCAGAGAAAGAGAGAGAGGAAATTCTTATTGAATTTTGGGATGATTTACAATGGGGTAGGACTCCTCTATTTATAGGCGGGAAAATGACTTAGCCACAAAGTAAAACTCTCTACAAGATAGACATTCACTCTAAATAGAATTCTATTCATAACACTCCCCCTTGAATGTCTACTCGATAAGTAATGTGCCTCATTAAAACCTTAACTAAAATAAAACCCAATGGGAAAAAAATTCTAGAAAAGGAAAAAGAGTACACATATCTAACAATACGCCTTTTGGTTGCCTCGTTAAAAATCTTGCAAGGAAAACCCAGTGGGACAAAACCTTGTAAGGGAAAAAGAGTGCAACGCGCATTAACTCCCCCTGATGAGAGCATCAATTCACATCCTTGAGCCTTCGCATCCCAATCTTGTGCACTAGCTTCTTGAAGGTTGACGCCGGTAGAGATTTTGTGAACAAATCAGCCATATTATCACTTGAACGAATCTATTGTACATTGATATCACCATTCTTTTGAAGATCATGTGTGAAAAATAATTTTGGTGAAATGTGCTTTGTCCTATCTCCTTTTATGAATCCTCCCTTCAATTGAGCTATGCATGTTGTATTGTCTTCATATAAAATCGTGGGTAGTTTGTCACATCTCAAACCACATTTGTCTCGAATAAGATGTATTATAGACCTCAACCACACACACTCTCGACTTGCTTCATGAATAGCAATTATCTCGGCATGATTAGATGAAGTAGCCACAATTGATTGCTTAGTCGATCGCCAACATATGGCAGTGCCTCCACAGGTAAACACATAACCTGTTTGAGATCGAGTCTTGTGTGGATCGGATAAATACCCAGCATCGGCATAACCAACAAGATCAGAACTGTAATTATTGCCATAAAATAAGCCCATATCGGTAGTCCCTTTTAGATACCGCAATATGTGTTTGATTCCATTCCAGTGTCTCCTTATGGGAGCAGAGCTATATCTTGCTAAGGCGTTAACTGAAAAAGTAATGTCAGGCCTTGTAGTATTGGCAAGATACATTAGTGCACCAATTGCACTAAGATATGGTACTTCAGGACCAAGTAGCTATTCATTCTCTTCTTGAGGTCGGAATGGATCCTTATTTACATCAAGTGACCGAACAACCATCGGAGTACTTAATGGATGTGCTCCATCCATGTAAAACCGTTTTAATACCTTTTTTATGTAGGTAGATTGATGAACAAAAATTCTGTTTGCCAAATGTTCGATTTGCAAACCAAGACATAATTTTGTCTTTCCGAGATCTTTCATCTCGAATTCCTTCTTTAAATAATCAATTGCCCTTTGGAGTTCTATAGGAGTTCCAATAAGGTTTATGTCATCAACATATACGGCAAGTACAACAAATTCTGATGTTGTTTTCTTTATAAAAACACATGGGCAAATGACATCATTTATATAGCCTTTCTTTAATAAATACTCACTAAGATGATTATACCACATTCGTCCTGATTGCTTTAGACCATACATCGATCTTTGCAATTTGATTAAAAATATTTTCTGGGACTTTGAATTATGTGCGTTTGGCATTTTAAATCCATCGGGAATTTTCATGTATATCTCATTATCAAGTGAGCCATAAAGGTAGGCGGTAACCACATCCATTAAATGTATGTCAAGCTTTTCATGGACAACAAAACTAATGAGATAACAGAAAGTTATAGCATCCATAACGGGTGAATATGTCTCTTCATAATCGACACCAGGCCTTTGTGCAAATCCTTGTGCAACAAGGCGTGCCTTATATCTTTGTACCTCATTTTCTCATTTCTCTTGCGTACAAAGACCCATTTATAGCCAACAGGCTTAACACCATTAGGTGTTTGGACTACAGGCCCAAAAACTTCACGTCTTGCAAGTGAATTCAACTCTGATTGGATTGCTTCTTGCCATTTTGGCCAATCTAGTCTTTGTCGACATTCTCCAACGGATTGAGGTTCAAGATCCTCACTTTCTTGCATAATGCTAGATGGAACATTTTATGCAAAGACATAATCCACCACTTTATCCACTCGATTCAAATTTGTCTCAATATCGATTGGATTTATTGATAGTTCCTTATTTTCTTGAGTCTCGAGCTCAGTGGTTTCCTCATGATTCTTAGAATTTATTAAATCGTGGATTTCTTCGTAAGATTCTTTCGTAGTGTCATTTTGATCATTTGTTTTCCTTTTTCTAAGATTTCGTTCCTTAGAACCTAATGGTCTACCACGTTTTAGGCGTGCTTTTGACTCATTAGCTATGACACTAGAAGATTGTCCAACGGAGACATCAATACGGATTGGAACATTCTCTGCAGGGATAAGTGATTTTGTTATCCTTTTCAAATCCGTAAATGCATCTGGCATTTGATTTTCTATTCTCTGCAAATGGATAATCTTTTGCACCTCTTTTTGACAAATAGAGGCAAGTGGATCAAGATGAGATAATGATGATTTTTTCCACAAAATTTCCCGTTTGGTTTCACTTACTTCTCCCTCTAATTTTGGGAAAAATATCTCATCGAATCGACAGTCTGCAAATCGAGCAGTGAATAAATCCTCCGTTAATGTTTCAAGATAGAGAATAATGGAGGGCGATTCAAACCCAACATATATTCCTAACCTTCTTTGCGGACCCATTTTGGTGCGATATGGCGGTGCTACAGGCACATATACTGCGCATCCAAAAATTCTTAAATGGGATATATTAGGTTCATGACCCAAAACTAGTTGCAACGGGGAATATTTATAATAATTTGTCGGTATGAGACGAACTAGCATTGCTGCATGCAAAATGGCGTGACCCCAAACAGAAGTGGGCAGCCTCGTTTTCATGAGTAACGGTCTTGCTATCAATTGCAGACGTTTAATTAAAGACTCTGCAAGACCATTTTGAGTGTGAACATGAGCTACAGGATGTTCCACTTTTATCCCAATTGATAAGCAATAATCGTTAAATGCTTGGGATGAAAACTCAACAACATTATCAAGTCTAATAGACTTAATTGGATTATCGGAAAATTGTGCCCGTAGTCGAATTATTTGTGCCATTAATTTTGCAAACGCGAGGTTGCGAGATGATAATAGGCACACATGAGACCATCTAGAAGATGCGTCTATTAAGATCATAAA